TTAGATAACTTGATCGAGATGAATTACTCCAGCTTAACTGCATTATTAGAAATGTGTTGGGATAGTAATAAAGCGTGCGAATGGAGAAGTGTTATACTTATGAAATTCCTCTATCATCCGAATTTGATTTCCTCAAAATATAGTCCAAACGCCTTATACGATGCATTCACCAAGGCAAACATTCTAGAGCCAGAACATATATTAATTCTAGCTCGAGCAATATACTAAAAAATAAAACACAATATACAATTAATATAGCCTGGGATCCTACCCCCAAAGCTATAAATTTTTTTTGTTATATCCTATATGTTAGTAAATTTCAAATCGACATACTACTCTTGCTTATGTAAGTTCATAAACTCTTTTTTTCTATTATAACATTCAATCATGTCAGCCATTACAACTAAAATCGTTGAAAAATACAATCTTAGCTCTAAGATGGGTATATCCGATCTCAGTCAATATACCTCAGAATTTCTTGAAAACCTTACTGATGATAAGAAGCGGAATCAGGCTCGCAAATGCCTTCGGGATGGTTTAAAATTTAGCAGTGAACAGGTAGGTGTATTGATACCTAATCAGAGAAGTGGGAAAAATAAAACTATAAATTTGGTTGAAGGTAATTGTAGAATAGCAATAACCAAGCCCCCAAAAAGTTTAGAAGAAGAGATCGTCAGAGAGAAAGCAAAACAAATCTTGCAAAATAGATATGGGTTTAGTGAAGATCAAGTAAATGCCTTATTCACAATCCTGAAAAACGAAAGTAGACACAGTGTAACTACCTCAGATAAAAATGTAAATATTGTAATCGCCAATCAACTCTCTAAAGGAATGGAGGAAGAAACAATTGGGGATATGGCACAACGGATTTTACAGGATAAACTTAGCATTAGAGATGTAAGAGCTGAAGCTTATGCCTTAGCCCTATCAGCAAAAAATGCTAATGCTGGCTCATCACGTCTCACTCGTCTTCTAAAGAATTAAGGAACCTTAATGCATTACTTGAGATAATTGAGGTTACAAAATTTCCAGATATTACAGAAGATGCCAACAAAATCCAGAGTATCAATCAGAAAAAAGCTGAAGCTAAACGTATTGATTATCCAGATGAATTTACATTAGAATCAGTTAAAGAAAGATTAGATGCGTACAATATTAAAACTTTACCTAATTATCAGGCTCTTGCTGATGTTATGGTGATGCTTTGTATTCGTCCTGCTGAACTTAAAACTTTACGCATTACAGATACTGGAGTGACGGGTTATGTGAAGAACCGAGGTCAGCCAGATATTCCTAGAAAATTTAGATCTATGGAAAAGAATCAAGAACGAGCCAAAGAACTACTCACTTGGATACAGCGCGCAATATCTTCTGGCCAAATAGGTGATCCAGGTAAGCCAGGAGTTAAATGGTTTAATAAATTTTTAAAAGACTATGATTTAATTCCTAAATATTTACGTAAATTAGGAGCAGTTTATGCTGTAGTGACGAATGGAGCGAAAAATATGGCCCACGCTTATACAATTGCTGGGGAAGCACTTCGGCATTCTTGTGACAACCATACTTCTCCAGTACAAAACTACGTCGTGGTAAACTACAGGAAGCAGGGACGAAAGCCTGAAGAAGCGAGACCATTCCACGCTTTATTACTATCCCAACACATTTCTAATAATGCAGTTAAGCTGGAGTAATTCATCTCGATCAAGTTATCTAA